GTAGTATATATGGTTTGTTACTCTAGATAGCCATAAGAGATCGGTAATTATAACGTTGTCGCCATGTTACTACCATATATGTGATAGAATAGAGCCAATTCTATATGGTAGTGTTTACAACATCTATGCCAGTACCTTGCATATAAATATAGCAAACGTTATAATTAAAAATTTAGGTTTATTACCAGGCAGTATAAAATGCGTCCTTACACATATTATCTGCCAATAAAAATAAACTCGTTTAATCCTAAACTCGTAATTCGTCACGTCAGTTAGCCCACAACTGACCTAACACGGTCCAATAGTGTCTTCGTATACCTAAAGCGCAGGCAGGTAGACCGTTTTATAATCGTTAATTTAAAAAGAATTTCATACGTGGAGTTTATACGAGATTTAAACAAACAATTTACAATATAATTTTGCATAAGATGTATTGAAATGTCTGTTTGAAACATTTAATTGCATAAACATACTTTGATTTGCAAAATTTAGTCAAATATGGTGCACTTATTTCAATAATAATGATTATTATTATGTAGTAATCTCCTTTTTTTATAAAGTCTAGTCCATATTACCTGCTGATATAATAGCTTTTTGTGAGTTAAATTATTCTTAAAAGTTAGTTAAGAATTTTTGTAAGTTCATTCAGAACAAACGTGAAAACAGATCCTCTTTTGATGATTAAGCTTTAAAACTTTGGAGGCAAATTTATACGAACGTTGTTTTACCATATAAATTTATACTGAAATTTATTAAAGTACTAATACCGCTATTAAAAAACATGGATAGGTAAGTAGGTAGGAGTGTAATATTTAAGGTATGTTATATTTTAATACGAATAATAAAATAATTAAAATTATAAATTTTGTACACATCATAATTAGTTATGTAGTTTTCTGTGAGATAAATTATTTTTAAAATCGATTAAGAAGATTTGTAAATTTATCCAGAACAAACTTGAAAACAGATCCTCTTTTGATTAGGCTTTAAATCTTCGCAAACATCCTCAATATAATATTATTAATAAATATAGTAACTTACTATGTATCTATGAAGTTGTCTATCTAGTGTTTAGTATGTAAATGTGTAACAGTATTGAATTTTGATAGTCACGAGTGCACCGCCTCGCCTGGCCGCTGAGTCCCCACACTTGCCACTCGTGTTCTCACGGGTAATTAACTTCGTTTACTTGGATTAATTAATTCGCCCTGAGGGAGGTCTTGGATAAACATGCAAGAGGATTAATCATTAATTGCCGTTGCATTAGTTATACCTAATACTACTGGATTAATAAATCTACATACCTACTCGATATATGATTGATTTATTATTTAAATTAAATAAAAATAACTTTATTCATGTAGATATATTCAGTACGTGACGTAGTTTGAGCCAAGTAGTAACTCTTGCACTTACTCTGTTCAAATGATAGTGTATTTCATTAAAATGATACAGATACAACTGTTATTCCGATACAAATTTCCAACAAAAAATGGAGTCACTAATCTTCACGACTGGCATATACATTGGTACTTCTATTCAATAGGAATAGTCGATGTATCTTATTAAAATTCTGACTGAATTGATAATATACATGGGAAAATCGCAGAACACAATACCTTAGCAATTATCCCGAGTATGTTGGGTCAAGGGAGATTTTTATGAATGAATACGAAAGCCAAGTTGACAATGACTTTATGACTACTCTCAGATACTCTCAGTGACGAAACATTCTAATAAATAACAATACTCTCAGTATTGTTATTTATTAGAATGTTTCGTCACATGAAAGAGAATCATATTATACTGTCGTCAATATTAATTAATATAGCAAGTGAGCCCATTTAGTTCACTTTACGAGTAACACGGTATATTCCCGAACACTCACGATTACTCTTGGACGTCGGAATTGAATTAAATGGATGAGCCACGTTTTTTTATATACATTATGTACATTTTGCATGTACAAGTTGCAACTCTTTGAATCTGTAAAGAGAGTTCTAATCTCTTTTTTAATATTCGAATATTCTAATATTATGCATGTGATTTTTTTATCATGAAAGTGCGCAGCATGTTGGTGGAGACCCGTGCCATAAACGCCTTGAAACTAATTTTCTAGTATTTTAAATAGGACATAGGTACTGTATACCAATATTAATCATATACACGCAAACGAATTTGCAACAAACTTGTTTGAAGAACATTTTAGCTGATAACTAACTTCTATAAAACAATTTAGGAGAGAATAATTCAAATTGCATCAGCTGGTCAATTATTACCATCAGTGACAAAAATAAAATAAGAAGCTTAAATATCAATATTGTATACATCGAAGCCTCAACGAATATTTACAGAGCGGTTGTTTAAATATTCCGAGAAAAGTCGATTGTTTGACTTCGATGTTTCTACTTGGCTCATCTTTGATACACAATGATATCATGTATAGCCGTGTACCTCCCGAATACTTTATTCGTATGACTGACTTTGCCTTTCTAATCTATCATACTAAACCAAAAACGTTACAGATATTTATATTCTTGTTGTTTATTTCCAAAAACGGAAATGTTTCTCGATATTGGTAGGTATGTATATAGTGGTAGTAGTTAGATATATTTATCTTTAATTACAATATACCAACTTTTGTAAACAACATTCCTACAGCTACAGTTAATCATCGTATTATAAATGATAAATGTAAATGTGAAATTATTTATTTATTTTTATTTATTTATTATTAAACTGAAACCACTATTTCTGAGATCAATATGTACATAGACGTTAGTTTATATTTTCTACGTTAAGGCATTAAAAATGAAATAAATTTCAATTTGAAACATCATAGTAGGTACTAAAATTGATAGTTATATAGCTATGCAAATTCAGCAAAGGGTGATTTCTTTACAGAGTTGTCTCTCTGAGAGCTGTTCAGCCTGTTCGTTCTGTTACGAAGCAATTTACTTTGCCTTATTCCGGTATAAAGGATCAAACATGACAGTGAAATGACAGGGTATAGAGACATAACAATGAAATCGAAATGGAAATCAGGAATAAAGTTATAATGTATTGTTGAAGACCTCGGTAGTCTAGCGGTTTAGAACACCGTTTTACTTCCGATGGTCGCGTTTTCGATTCCTCTCAAGGTACAAACATTTGTATCGATCTCTGTGTTCTTATGTATACTATTATGTTTGTATTTGCAAAAAAAAAACGTATCTAAGTATTTATAGCAGCTATCTAGTAACGATAACACAATCTTTGTTTACTAGGACTAGATGGCGCTGTTTGAATTGGTCAGGAATATTATTATATTATATGTGATGCTTGTGATGCTGCTCTTAGGTATACATATAGGTGATGGGTAACGCTTTCTATTATGTCACTTCAGCTTATTTCGAAAAATAAAACAAAATTAAAGTTATACATCAGTACGATCCTATCGATTACATATCATATATATGTATATATATTTTATACGTATATTCCGTAATTTAAGGTGAAATCCTTAGCTTGTTGTGTTGTGTTGTTGATGTTATACGAAATATAAATTTTAAAAATATAAATTATAACATATCCATAAGGCATTGACCTTACAATTGGATTAATATTTGTGGCTTAGATATAGTGGTCTCGTGACGCGGTTTGATCATGCTAATTGCCTGAACAGTCTGAAATTAACATTATTAGTATATTCTGTAAGTATAAATTCGATTGACCTCTCAAGATATCTGAAAACATCACGCTAATATGTATATTACTTTAAGGATTTAATCTATCCGTTTTTTTTAAATACGTACATATGTAAAGCTCTATTAAGAAAGTATAATCTGTAGTCAAGACTATGTCTAAGTTCTGTAAAAAACTTACTTAGTTCATTGGGTAGAATAATGTTAAAAACAATTAAAGATAAGCATACAATTCAGATCCATACAATACATGAAACATACAAAATTAGGTTTTTTGTTTTTACCTACATTTTGCAAATTATGCTAAAATAATAGTTGTTATTACACATATTTATTTTCAATTTTCAAAGTCTAAAACTTGAATAGCAAAAACAACCCCAATATGAAAACTGTATGGTAATAACAAAATAATTTTATTACTACCTAATACTATACAGTATTAGGTTGTCTGTGCTAATACTTAGCATACGACTACAAATCGAGCTTTTAAATCTTCAAAGGAATTACCGCTACATTATCAAGCTACGTTGAAGTATTGCATCTGTGCAAGATTTCTCAGAAATATTTTGAACGAAGATTAAATTCCTGGTTAACCTCTGTAATAGTTCAAGTGCTGTAAAAGAACACTGAGTAGTGCTCTACCAAAAATAAATAATTATTTATATGAACTAATGTAAAATAAATATATACTATTATAAAATAGGTACTTTAGAAAGAAATAAATTGCTAATAACTGTAAGCGCGCTACGCTCGTGTTGATTTTGATTAGGTATAAATTGACGGTCATTTATTAATTTATAATAATCTGTTGAAGTATTTTTGTATCAAAGTTTTCATCAGCTATGTTAGTTATTGAATGCAATAAAAACAATGAAACATCGTCGATTTTTATCGTTTTGTTTATCTGTTTATCGTTTTCTGGTGGTGAAAAACCATCACTAATAATTTACTTTAAATATTGGATTCAAAGCTGATCGTTTTTTCTATAATCTGTAAATATAATAATAAAAATGTTACTGATCGCTGTACCTGTACATTCATTCATAATTTAAGAGCCACTTTCTTGTCGGTGGAGCGCTTGCCACTTTCCACGATCTTACATCATCCACTTTATAATTATGTTGATACGATGCGAATTTATTTGATTGAATATGAATGAATGAATGAATCTATGCGCTTATGAGCCTAATCACAGAAAAGACCTAACTGATTAGAGCGCGTTTTTTTTTTGTTTTATTGTAATCGGTTTACAAGCAAGTTATAAACTTATTTCGAAATATAATACATATGTATATGTAGATATACATTTTTGTCTAGATTGGGATTAACCCACGACGGAGATGACCAATGCGAGAAAGAAGCACACAGAGGTACAGTGATGGCGCCTACCGTTTTGGCCACTCTCCAAAATTTCGCGTGGTCCAGCTGTTCCAGAGAACAATTTCATGACAAATCCAAGTACGTAGTATACATTAATCAACGACATATATGGACTTCCCTTTGTTATACTAAATACACATGATCAGATGGCACGTTTCCAGTAGTATAACCCAGATTCTACAGTCTTGGTCAAGGTCAATGTATAATGTGTACTAAATGAGTATGAAAAGATGTATATATAAATACCTGTAGCTGGATTACTTGCAGAATAGTAATCTTTTGATGTTTATTTTTTCATTGGATAAGAATATTTAAGGCAAGACAGAGTGTGTCGTAAATTGACGCTCCGGACTTTAGAAAAATGGAGAGCAATTAATTCTTAAATTTGCAAATCAATTCTTGTATATCTCATTTTTTCCATGCTTAATATAAAAATATTATTATACATATAAATTTGAAAGGTTTTTGAGAATGAGAATTTACATGGAACTTACTTTAATTTAATACATAATCTTCAAAATCCAAAACATAATCGTAGATAATGATTAAAGCATAATTATGACCACAAATATCTATATAGAAATAGTAACAATTTGTATACCGAGTATATTTTTACTGAGATAGCTTCCTAAAAAGTCATCATACGAAACGTATATAAAAATGAACATTTACAGCATATAAGTATAGCTACATTAGATTACAATCTAAATACGTACTGTATTTGTATAACGATGAATGTAATGTTTATTTGAATCTAGGTGTATATAAATAACATCAACTTCCGTGGTACTTGACATATAATGTATGTACTATATATGATATATAACCTTACCTATATATTATCATATTACGACTTATTCGCTTACACTTATATAACCAAAATCAATTCTTATAATAACACACCCTACCTATTACATTAGGATGTAGATAATTGAGTGAATTGGTAGAAACCTATCTATAATCTTTCCCCACCAAATTATATTTTCCAACTACCAAATCTTCTATAAGTTGCCAGGCATGAAAATAGAATAAATTAAGGTAAGCACTAACGAATTAATTGCATTACAGAAAATGGTGGTGCTTGCATCAACGTAGCCATGATGAAGGAGTGGAGTTGGGTGGTGCTAAGGCATTATCCAATTACGTATTCACTATGGACGAGCAGTGCAGGACCGAATTTGGCGAAGGGTTAGTATGCTGCCTTAATTGAGAGCAATTCATTATACATGCACGTATATTTCATCGTTTCAGACATATGTATATTGCATCTAGACTTTCAAGTATATTTTTTGATCAAAAACTACACAAACCTGTCAAATTTGGTTCATATATTGAGACTTGCGAGATAAATATATGTTCCAAATTTCATAAACATATCTCAAACGGTTATTTAGATATTAATGTCCAAAAATCGTCATTTTTATCACTGATCATATTCAAATTTGGTATATATAATATAAAGGAAAAAATCTGAAACTTACTATATATTATTCATTTCAACTTATACTGGACGAATTAAAATTCTATGAAAACGTCGATAGCCACCAATTATATAAAAATCTCATCTTGTAAAAAGTCAATATTTATAATAACACACCCTACCTATTACATTCAAATATTGCATTGAGCGGTAAACACTAGATAATTTAGATGAAAATATACTCGTAGAAACCTATTTATAATCTTTTATCCACATCGAAAAAATTATTTTTATTTTCCAACTACCAAATCTTTTTGTTTCTATAAGTTGCCAGGCATGAAATATATTTGAATAAATTAAGTAAATACGTATGGTATAGACAATAGTTTAAACCAAAAATTAACGAATTAATTGCATTACAGAAAATGGTGGTGCTTAACAGCATCAACGTAGCCATGATGAAGGAGTGGAGTTGGGTGGTGCTAAGGCATTATCCAATTACGTATTCACTATGGACGAACAATGCAGGACCGAATTTGGCGAAGGGACGTTATACCGTATTTGCTGCCTTAATTGAGCAGCATTTGAACATTTAAAAGTTACAAGAAAATATAGAAAATAACATTATACAGTAATTTATCAAAAATAATTTGGTATTAATTTAGCATAAATAAGAATATTTCATCGTTTCAGACATATGTATATTGCATATATATTACAATATTAATAGTAACTAGCAATCGAAAGTAATAATTGGTATATGAGAACTGGCCAAGACATTTATTATCTTATAAGAAATAAATCGTATCTAAAATGTATCAATTGGTATATAGCTATCATTTCACATTTATGTTTTTGATGGGATATATATTACATGACATTTCTAAAAAATCGTATCTAAAATGTATCAATTGATATATAGGTACTTACTCGTACTTATAATATATTTCTTTTATTTTATATATATTTCATTCTTTAACAAGCCATAACTTTTGTAACTTAAGTTTAGTCTGAATTTATTTACATATCATCCTTTTCTATCACAACGTTTTAACTACTAAGTCTCAGAGCATAACAAAATAAGAAAGGAAAATAAGTAAAATAAAAATGTAGTCGCAAAATAAAAAAATAAACATTACTTTCAAAATAGAGGATGAGCTATTACCTAAAAGAATATTAAAATGTAATGAGTACAATTGATTTAAATTATATTTTTCATTATCTCGCTAAGGAGCTTCAAGGTACAGGAATAACGCTACAGCACGATCAACAAAAATCTATAATTATCTCTTCACATTTAGTGTAATTTGGTGTAACCTCTATATATGTTTGTTCTAAAATAAGAACAAATGCTATCTTATATACTCTAACCTTAGATGTCTTTATAATACGAGGAGTCGTTTTTAAGTTTCTGAATGGTATTTCCCTTAATCACTGCTCCTCTATATATTACTTTAATTGAAAATGTACACAGGCACAACTCTAATCTTCCAGAAATTCTAATAATTTGGCCCAATTTAGCACTTCTAAAACTGTTGTTGGCAGCATTATATTTATCTTCTGCATCTAAGGTTTATTTACATTTCCCTTTTTCTCCAAGTAATGAACCCGGGATATATCCCGGGTGTATTTAAATGAATGTTTCATTTATTATGATCTAAAATCTAAAACTATTACCAATAAGTCAAGAGCATTAATCAATCGTGTTAAGAAAAATATTATGTAGGATGTACCTACATAATATTTTTCTTAGATAGATAGATAGAATAATCTAGATACAGATTAAGATTGCGAAAAAAAATAAAACTCGGATATTATAAAGTTATTTTTTTAATACTGGTTTCATACGTATTATCCAATAAAAAATGTTTCATAAATTAATATGTATATATATAATTAAAATACAATATTAAATAATCTCCTTCATTGGGTAAGGTTTTATTATAAGCTAAGGTTTTATTAATAATGTAACATTCGTTTTATCTGACTATAGATATCTTTTAATTTAATTCTAAATGTTAATAATGCACACTTATATGCTTGATTGTCATCAATGTAGAATAAGAAAAACTTCCAAATAATATTTAATACAGATATTTTTATACTCCCCGGGCTGCGATGATGATGATGATGATGACAGATATTTTGATTTATTTTGCATATACATATAATGAATATTGTAAATTCAACATGCATCTAATGTAATGTATCGTTCGAACAAGTGAATGAATGAATTGAATCTTCCGGATCTTTAAGAAATATTCAGTTAATTTTACTTTAAACTAATGTTACATTCAGTGTTAAACGTCGTCGGACTGTAGAAGAATAGAGTAAGGAGGTAAACACTACAAATAATATAAATATAGCCACGGGAAATCTGTAGGGATTTTAACTTTGTTAAAGATGAATAAGAAAGTGGGAACGTAAATTTCATATAGATAGCTAAAGGCGTTTGAATATTTCTGTACATGCCAGTCCTTTTTTATATAACTGGTAACGGTAATACGGAATATGTTGCACAGTTAGATTAGACTAAGAAATTACTTAGTTTCCTCAGTCAATCTTATTCTTACAAAAACACATAACAAAATAGCGATCTGCGCGCAAAAAAAGGAAGTCACAGAAAGGGTAGTGATTAGTTACTCTGTGGTAATCTACAAAATCTATTTATTTTTCCAGCGCAAACGAATGTCGTCACAGATTATTGATATAACCACGGCAGTGGTACTCCGCTCAGTATTACTATGTATGTTATGCATTCATAATTATATTAATATTACCTAGTGAGTGGGCAATATAAACTTTTATGAATTGTTTTTTTAACTGTTCCTTTTATGAGAGAATGTTTAGACATTTAGTAATTCAGCAGGCAAGCAACACCACGTATAAACAACCCCGACCTTTGTTCACTGAAATCCCGCTCATGTCGCCTCCGGCGAGGACAAACCTGCCTGGTATTCTAGTACGAAATTTATACAGTATTTGCTCATGTTAAATTAGGTTGTGAGATAGATTTAATTCGTATTTTGAGAACACGCGTAGCTTCATAAATTACAGTGATGAACATTATAGATAGAAAATGGACTAAATATAAAATAGATATGGAAATGTAGGTGATATAAATATAGGTACTTTGAACGCAGTAGCAAGTTCTGGGTCATCGTATATCAAGATAAAAACTTATGACAGTTTATTTCAGAGTAATTTTTCATTGTTACCCGATTGTTCGTACCGATTTGTTTAGTTATATTAGATATCCTATATATTCTTTTAGTATTGTTTTACAATGGCAAATAACCTGACGGTCCACCCGCTAATAAGCGGTGTATATATACAACCACCGGTAACACGGTATCATGTAAAACCACTTATTCCCTTAGGATTCAGAAATATCTTAGTGCAATAAGACAGTTAAATTACTGGATGAAGGTATAATAATATCTTCTGTTGCTGGCAGCTTGTCTACCATTCTTTTTTTAAACTTTATATTTTTGATATCTGTTTTTTATATGTCACTTTTGACTAATTTCTTGTTATTTTCTTTTTTGCTGTGAGCCCTTTTGGGGAAAATACACATTTTTTACTATTATTTGATATTTAATTAAAATAGTAGTCGTTTTCCGCTCCAGACACACTTTCTATTCTGCAATTTCACTGACTGATTCTCACTGTTTAACCGAATCACAGCTTACAAAACAAACTGCTAAGCGACTGAAATAGGTAGACAAAGAGACTGATGATTTTTTACAAAATATACCGTCATTATATATGGTAGTTTGCCACTTTCAGTCGGCAGATTAGCGTATCAAAAGTAAAGATTATCATGAATATTTATAGGCAATTTTATACACATACACTAATTTTATTAACAACGCTCTACTTAATAAATTAAGGTTAATTGTAATGCAAACAATATTATCATCTTGGTAATATGTATGTCACCATAGTGTATCTCTAAAACATCAATCATTATTATTACCGATAGATTATTTTTATAAAATAGTGATACATAGAATGCTATCTATTTAAAAAAAACCGCTTCAAAACCCTTTGCGCAGTTTTAAAGATTTAAGCATGCATAGGGACGGACAGACAGCGACAGCGTCTTTGTTTTATACTATGTAATGATTACAATTCACGACGTAAATTTACCAATAGTATACAAGGATGTTAAAATGCAAATTTACACTTTATCTAAAGCCGGAAGAATCCATTACTTTCCAGTAGCGATGGTTAGGTTTCCGCACTGAATATTTGTGATCCCATACATGCTAATGATAGCGGAATTAAACAAAATAATACAAAACCATGAAAATACGCAAAATAATACCTAATTCTATAAAGTATATTTCTTTTGTTCCAGATACTCTATATGCAGATCTGTGAAGGTACGGTCAGCATGCTCACGTCTGTGGTGCGCCCATCGTGCCATGCCATACGTCTGCCGGACGAAGCGGGCTCCACCTTTGGAAGGCACACCTTGTGGTAACAAACGGGTATGTTACTTATTCTTTTATAAGTATATGCTGATATGAGACTAAGAATATAAATCATTTCCGTTCGTCTTTTTTAAACATATGAAAGAATTACACGTATATTTTAAGCAATTAAAAATTGCCTAATTTCTTTCTTACCGTAAATATGAATGAAGCCATTACCCTAAATCGTAGTAAATTGATAGGTAATAATTTATGTGTTGATCAAACAACGTTTCAAACAAACATTAGAAATTATATCATTTCAAGAAACGAATAAATGAGAATATGATTTGTTAAAAAAATATTTTTCTAAATAGCTTATTTCATAAAGTAGAAGGCAGTGTTACGAAAAAGCAACGACTCACACACTAGGGCTGAAATTATTTAAAAAACCTATATCCTTGATTCGAAAATGAACCCGGGAAATAATTTATAAATAGCACGTTACCTACCACTGCCTACAGTGGTTGTTAAATTCATATGTTATTCACGTGTTGATGTTCGAAACAAATAGAAAACACGATTGAACATTGCATTGCCGTTTACGTGACGCGTCAAAGCGTGGAATCCATCATCGTTTTGCCCTCACGGCTGTGTCGGGGCGTGCGAACGCATAAATTCACCAAAAATCTGATGTGAACATTGTTTCAACGCTATGCAAATAATGTTGACTGTTTCGCAGATAAATATAGTGTACGACGGTGCACAAAAGCATAAAATACCAATAATCAGAGCTGACATTCATGTCAGTTGCTGTTAAACGGCACTTAATTATAAATTAATAACATGTAAAGTTGTTACAGAACAAAGTCCTTTAATATTTAATACTATCTGTTCCTGTGGTTTCACCCGCAGGAATTTATAACTATAATCACGCGGTTATTATTATTACGCTATATAATTACGCGGTTGATGTATAAGCTATATTATTGTAAAGTTGCATTAAAATGCATTCAGTAATTTCTGCAGTAACAGTTACATCCATACTCGCAAACTTCCACGTTTATAATATTAATAAAACATCTATTATAAAGAACTAAATAAGGCTGTATACATATTCTTAGAATAAAACAGTAAATCATCGCTGTCTGTAATAAAAAATAAAAATAAACTGAAAGAGAAAAACTATTACTCTAGGACTTTATGGACGTAACAGAACCGAACATTATTATTGTTACATTTTATATCTATTTGTCTGTGCGTTTGCCACTTAATATTGTTTTTTATATCCATCGGTTTTGTCAATAAAATATACTGTTACGGTATACAAATAATATACATACGAAATACGAACACTAAGTACCAAAATCTATTAAGGCTGACTGATCCTATTCATAATACGTGCCTGGATTGTCTTGTAAGAAAGTGTCATAACAAAAATGAGAAATGGCTACCCTAGTTCGGGAATGTGGAGAGAATCTCAGATGAGAAATCGACGAAACAAATATACATTGGAAAAATATAAAGATACAAGTTCTGGAGGAGGCCTACACTGATATATAACGGTTGTATGCTGAATGTACGAGGAGTTAAGAGTCTACTAGAATGGCGTTTTTGTATGCAAAATTGGATTTGGTTAATTAGTAATTAGTGGCATAAATTATCACTCATTTTTATTCATATAGAACTCGTAGATACTATATGTATATGTATGGGAGAATAGAAATAATTTTTCTATAAATAAACTTAATGTATGCACTTTTGAAGAGTCATATTATTTTTACTCTACCATTCATTCGGAACGCAGACTCGTCACAATAAGAAACGGTGCTCTTTTAAATAAATGTTGCTCAGAATTACATTATTAGGAATTTTGTGTGTATGGAGTTCAGTAGATTCTATTTGATGATAAAAAGTGTGTACGGTGTGTATCGTCTTAATAGAAACTTTCAATGAGAAAAATCTTGGAAATATTCTAAAATTCTCAACGAATTTTCAAATGAGAAATATTAAAATTATACAACACAATCCCTAGGCTTTTTAATTTGCTTGTAATATAGGTCTACTGTAGATTTATATCTAGCAATTTAGAGATAGTACCTAATTTTATTGCTCTTTGTTGTTGTAAATTCTACAGGGACCAAAGTTACGAAGAAATAATCTTATACTTAATAAAGTTGGTGCATTTGTAAATTTGTCTTCAAAATAATAGCTACATTATTATGATTAGTTTATAATACAGTAAAATTACAGGATAAGAGGCATCACGTTTTAGTTCTTCGGAATGGCAACGAATGAGTTGTATTTAATTGTTTATTTAAATTCAATGCACACATACATAAATACATTTATGCGGCATGTACCTACATGTATCGCGATTGTCACATGATAACATGGTACTGTCATATATAGACTGTAACGCTAACCTTCAGGAGGGTCGACAGTTTATTTACCATTCCAATTACATAAAAATAATAAATAATTTCGTACTTCACATAACATGTGTTAAGATTACGATGTAATGAAGTAATGTATATTATAAAACAAATTCAAAAACGTCTATCTGTTTGTCTATTTATTACATTCTAAATGAAATAGGACATCCATTAAAAAATACATTGTATTGTAGAAGTCGATGGTAACAGCTGATTTCTTTTATTTCAGTGGTGCGTGGATCGTGTATGTGAACCAATGCCTGGTCACGGTGACAATAGTAAGGAGAAGAAACCGATCACACCAGAATGGGGAGAATGGGGCGAGTGGAGCAAGTGCAGCGCCACTTGTGGATACGGCCTGCGTGCTCGCAATCGTGTATGCCAATACAGAGGGTATGACATTTCAAATACCTATTTATATTTGTTAATTATTAGTATATTACGATATAAGTGCGTTATGATGGTTATAAGTATAACTCACGAGGTGGAATTTTAGCCCACTCTGCTAAAACAACACGCAAGTATATTGTACAAAATTATTCAACACACTTTTATTTTAAATAAACTCAACCATAAAAATGTAATGCACACTGTGTTACTTTCCCGCGGTTTTAATTTTTTAAATCAGCGCGGTGCCTACAGGCAGGCGCAGCGCTGGGGTCATTTAGAAATTTGATAAAAAAATAGCAAATAGTGCGGTTATGAAATATATGTATGTAACTTCACTATTAGCGTTTATTAATAATAATTTATGAGCGGCTTTATATATCGAAAACCGGTGAAATTAGATCTACATTACGAGCAAATATGTTGTAAATATATTTTAGTTAGTAGATTTCAATTTTTGTAAAAATATAATATTTGTGCACTAAATTAAGCATATATGCTTTTTAGCATACAATAATTAATTTACTTCTAAATACTTTCTGATGTTGATTTTGAATAAATAAATAAATAAAAATAAAATAAACCAATTTCCTAAAGATTTAAAATTGCCTGTTATTTATTATTAAGCGTAAGTGTAAGACATATTGTGTATATGTAACTACGTAATGTTGATACAGTCATTCTAACCAGCATATGAGGTCGTCTACGTGGGTATCTATTTCATACCTAAGTACACTACCAACTTATTACTAAGTTGTGTTTTAGTATGAATAAAACTACAAAGAAGTTTTGTTATCCAGCTCCCCATCAGAAAAGTCGTGCGAGGGGGCCAGTTCGCAAGTGATGTCCTGCTGGGCAGAAGTTGCATGTGGAACTCCGCAGGACGTGCGCGCCGATCTTTGTCTCCAGCGATCCATGTATCTGATTCCACATATACACCCTGAAGGTATAGCAGTTCATTGGTATTAGATAAAGTTATACTAATAATAATAATACCCCTCAACCATTCACTCAACGTCATCTAGTCCCAACGTAAGCAGAATTTGTAGTGTGGGTACTAGGCAACTGATATTAATATTTATATATTTTTTTGTAAATACACACTAATAATATACATAGAAAATCAGACCGATTCAAACTATTGTACTCACGACTACAAATATTTGTACCGTGGAATAGAATCCGCGATCATAGGAAGGAAAGCAATCCGCTAAAATTTATCACAATGGATATTAAATTTTACATGAAACCAAAAAATATTTAGGTTCTATTTTTTATTAGTGATAAAAATATGAGATGCATAAGAGACAAAATGTCCGAATGATCCGATGAATAACATTTTATTACTTATTTTGTTTTTTTTTTTATTTTATTTCGGCATTCATTGTCAAGAAGCATTCTCACCATCTCACTTGTTTGTTCCAAGTAGTATCTTTGTAACACTTCTATCTTTGTGTCACTTATGAAGTTTACCACAGGTCACAAATTTATTTTGAGATATCGTCATACTACTATTGATTGTAAGCTATATATCATCAAGTTTCTTTCAGGATATTTTAAAAGAAGATGGATAAAACCTACACTTCTCCATCTGGTTTTTAAATGTCCTCTAGCATATTATACTGTTTTGAATGATAAAAATAAATTTAAATGTACAGACGTACAAAATTTACACGCAAATTTAACAACAAAAGCGCACAGATTGAATGAAGTGCAAACGCTGCAATGTAATTTTATTACTTTCAACTTTACACCTACCAAAGGCAACCTCGCTCACCAATTTACGTTGTATATTTAATTATCACCGACTCCAAAAAAGGAGGAGGATCTCAATTCAACTGTATTTTTTATGTGTGTTATCTCAGAACATTTGGTTATGGAACCAGTTATTACGGATATAGGTTTACGTATATAAATATGTATTTTTCATTGTTTCTTTTTGACAGAATCTAAACAATGTGAACTGTGGTGTGCGAACAAAAACGGAAAAGAATATACTTCGTATGGCACCTTAGAAGATGGTTCCCCATGCAGCTACGAACGCCCTTACGATGTCTGCTTTCAGGTATGTTAAAGTTTCTGTACAAACACAAAATAATCACATGAGGGGGATTCTTAGTAATAAACACTATTATTGCTTTGCTATCTGGTGTGCTTACCTTCTTTATTCTTCTATCTTATTGCTCCGCCTACCTTCACTCTTTATGTAAATTTCCTACTCTCTGTCAATACTAGGATGTCTAGAGGAGAATGCTTATTACAATAAGATCCTTTTGTAATACAATTTTTTATGTTCTTTTATTAATATTTGTGCGCAATAAAGAGTTATCATTATTATGCCACTGCTAACCCTGTTAGTACTACTTCTATAGGATCTACAATTTTGGTAAATTCTTGATGATTTCGTCACGGTGGACTAACTGACCTACCTCCATTCTCATTCTATTGTTCTCTATAAGGCCCCGAAAAGCCCAGCACAATAAAAATTCAAACACATTGTGAAATATAAACCCTATCGGATTTTTCTACGTACAGTATTACTCGAAATATCACCCATATTTCGAGTAATATTTTGATTGATTGAAAACAAAATTGTTATTAAAATAGAATTGTTTATTATTAAATATGAACCTGTGGATGGTAGTGCTTTTTACATATTCGGTCTCTGGCAGTACATTTTGTTTTATATTCAAACATTCTAACTGTTCATCCCCGCTGTTTGTAACACATTCAACTGTTCGCGCGTGTGGTTTCGTTCTGTTGAAAATAAACTAACATATTGAAATTGTTTAGTAAGTATTACGAGTAGAGGCTAGTTTAGTAAAGTATGTTATTGTCGTATAGAAAAATCTGCAAGCTCCCACTATGAGACATTTCCCACTGAATATCCATGTAAGCAAGTACCTATTTGTTATTAAAAGGAACAAACAAGTAAATATGTTAATATTTACTTGTTTGTAACTTGCTGTTTTGTCATTAACCGTTACGAACTCGTAATGTTCTAAATAAATCAACATCAATATAGCAAATTACAGACAATCTTAGTATCCAAAATAGATTTCATGAACACCATTTAACAACGTGAGGTCGTGTTGCTGTTCAAAACTTAGCATTAAGTCAGCCGTAAGCTAGTTACTCATTCTAGTTTTAAAGAAGGACAGTAATGCTTTTATGTGTTAGTAAAACATATTAAAACATCCTCTAATCTATGGAAATACAAGTATTATACCATCTATTGTTTCTTCTCAGTACATACATAGTACAGGTACATTTCTAAATATTTATCGTCGTATTTATTCAGTGGAAGGGTTGTTTATTTAAACACGACTGTTTACACAAGAAGTGTAACGAGTATTGTATATACTTCAGAATTTTGATTGTACTCTAGCTTTTTGCGTGTTCCATTAACATAACATTGTTGCCGTTTGGCGTATTTATAAATATATATATATATGTATATATTCAATAATAGCTACTGTTACTGTGATACGAGCTAGGCAAGCGTGGCGGCCAAGTTTTAAAGTTGATGCTTTGTGTTTGTACCTCGCCTGTTTACACTCAGATAAGGAAAACTGGTATTAACAAATAAAAATGTGTTGACTGAAAAACAAAAGGAACTAATTAAAATAAAATTCCAAAACAATTCTTCACTTTGATGATTATACCAAAAGAAACAATGCAATTATAATGAGACAAAAGATAGCTTAATAGCCTATGTAAATATTAAATAGGATATATATAAAAAAAAGTGGCGCAAAATTTCAAGTATACCTAACATTTAATACATTATCTAATACGTAACATTCGTTTTACTGCAAAGACATACAGTGGTTCTGTACATCCATTTTAGCTAGCCAAAACAAAGAACAGCAGTTTTTTTGTAAACTTCGTTTCAGTTAGAGGTTATATGGCAGAGAAATTACAGTGTAAATTAGATGTAGGTAATGCCTCCAGCATTACATCTTTATAGGAATGGTAACACAGGAGGGGTACCACAGGAGTAATATAATTACGTGATGTTATTTACCTATTTTGCTATTTGCCTTTCCATTTACAGAGAATCACTGAAAAAGGATTTTTAGATTTCCACAAATAGAAGATAACTAGTTTGCGCGACTACAACCCTAATAAATAGCACAATAATACATAAAAAAATATATATGCATACTACAATCTATTTAGAATCCAACAGTTTGTTTTTTTAACCTTATTTGATAGCTAATTATATACAAAGTAATAAAAATCGATAAATTACAGGGCACTTGTGTGACAGGGCAGTGCAACCCTGCAGACCCGACGTGCAACTGGTGTCCCGACGGCTACTGCAAAAACAATACATATTTATATACAAGCAGTATTAAAGATCAAGGTATATTACTTTATAAAAATAATCATTAATGTGAAAGAAAATCATTTATATATCGTGTAACAAATAGAACAAAAAATAAAATGTTTTAACGCAAAATTTTTAACTCAATGTAACTAAAAAATTAATGTTGATAAATAAACAGAAAATATAACGTACTTTAAATTAGGTAGATTCACAGATTTTAATAAATCCATATTTAATATGTTTTTATTATAATATATTTCAGTAAACATGTTTTTTTTTAATTGTAATTTATAGAAAATATAAGTCAATGTTTATTGTTTACCTGTGCAACAAAGACTAAACTTGTTATATCTATTAAAATTTTATATTTGCTTGTGTGTTTCATTAGGTTTTAGAAAAATAGCGTTAATCCCTCAAGACGCTAATCAGCTTTCTTTCCAAATCAACACACCTTTGGCTCTTCATGTAATATTTAAATGGCAATGGAGACATTACCAACAAAACATAGATTTGAAGAAACACTCGAAACGTGTCGCTATAGATTATCCTCAATACAATGATGTGAGATATGATCCCAACACACCGCAAAATCTTCAAATTGTGCAAGTGGAGATACTTGAACGTATGGAGGGCTCGATCGTGGCGGCGGGTGCAGTTTTACAATGGCAACAGACAAAAACTAAAATAAACATAACTTCCAAATCGAAACTGCAAACGGATTTGACTATAATGGTAATGTATTCTTATTCATATGTGAATTTTTATGCAATTGGCTATCGACTCACCTGATGGCAAGTGGTAGGCGTTGCTTATAGTTATAAACAGCATGTCCGTAGACATCAAGTTTTGAAATATCGCTCTACCCGTCGTATAATAATATCTCAGGACAACTCACACAGCGCCATCTAGTCCCAACCTAAGCAGATTATACATACGAGTTCTATACATTTTATAGTAAATACATACATATATACAATAAAAAATACCCATACTGATAAAAATAGTCCTACTCATGCATACAATGTTTATCCCGCGGAATTGAATCCGCGACCGTCGGAAGGCACTGTGCTAAACCGCTGAACCATCAAAGCTACCTAAAACCTAATGAATTGGCATTCCGGAGGACATGATATTTACATACAATATTTCTTTAAAATGTTCAGTATACAGTATTGACATCATACCTACATAATTATTAAAATTTAACTCCTGACCTCCCCAAGAATGAAAAAGCAAACTTTGTTCATGTTTACAGTACTATTTCTATGAGTAGCATTATTATAGTGTAATGTTTGAATATGAATTTGAATAAAAAAAACTAATTTATATCACCTAGAATGAGTCCCGCTGCCTTCAAACAGCCTTACATATAAAGTGCGTGATACAAAGGGATGAAACTATGAAAAGTGTAACGAAGCGAAACATCAGATGATAAGGGTTGCCCCGTCCGCAGTGTGCTTTAATTATTCAGAGGCGCTTTCAACTCTGCTACTGAAGTTAATTGGGAACTCACTCTACTGACTTTATATCTCATTTCCCTTTATCGTATTTTATTCAGAAAGGTTTTTCTTGTTACCTTTTGATTCATTTAAATTGTAACGGCCCTATTTTGGAATTGGTCGCAAATAGTTTTTTCTTTTAATAATTGAGAATCTATGAGAATGACATACTGCGCCGACCCCAAATAATGGGATAAAGGCAAGGCAATGAATTGAGTATCTATGGTGATAGAATGTTCAAATTGGGGCAGAGATTAGAAACAAATTGGGTGTTAAGAAGTTACGAAATCTATATCAATCCGCGACAATAAGGCGACTTGGCCCGGTTTGTTACGGATAAAATTATTGCATGGTTCTCTTTTATATACATAAAACTACGTACATTAATAGTAGTTATTTATAGTTAATATGTAGTTTTCAAAACAATTGTTTACTCTATTAATTATATTATTGTATCATATATACATATGATACATAATTAATGTATGTAGTTTTCAAAACAATTGTTTACTGTTCTCTATTACACATAATGTATTATAGATACATTAATACAATATATATGCGCTGTATAACTCCTTAAACTATCAAATTAAAATAATTTCTATTAAATTATTAGTAGGATTTATGTGATTTAATTATTTTCAGGCGAACTCAGACGACTCCAGATACAAAGCATTTACAGTGGAGGTATCCGTGAATTATAGTACGCCAGAGAGACGGATATATCCACTCGAATACAGGTTTTCATCAGAAGAACATTTGTGATATATTGCCCAAACTTCCTTTCTCATATCTTCAAGCGAATCTGGATGGCGTCGAATAATATTTCTTGGATAACTTTATCAGTAAGTTTACCTGCTCCTTTTCTGTTTAAGTCTGTAGAAACGTGTCTAAACTTGTATAAACAAATATATTAATAAAAGGGAGGCCAGGTATAAAGCCGACGGTACACAATAGAGCCTCTTTCTGCCAACTCACCGCTCCGAATCTTTCTTTTACCTGCTGTATCTTTAAAACGACTTCGAATTTTCTAAAATCGTGTTAATTTTTTCATCAAAAGACCCCCTAATACAATATATATGGTATTAAAACTATCAAATTATAATAATATTTATATTATATATATAGTTTAATATTTTATTTTATATTATAGTTATTGAATACATAGTCTATGACAATAAAAACAAATAATATATAATTAATTAGCCTCAATTGTTATTAGTTATGGCTTTTTAGTAATTATATTATTAGTAGGATTTATGTGATTTAATTATTTTCAGGCGAGACGACTCCAATTTACAGTGGAGGTATCCGTGAATTATAGTACGCCAGAGAGACGGATATATCCACTCGAATACAGGTATATTAAAATTAATATATAATAATCTATTCTAATGTTAATATAAATATGGTAAACATCATATTAATAGAAGGAGACCCCTCTCTTATTATATTCAGCAGGCAATCACCTTGCTTTATACTTTTAAGAATGAGTAGTGAAACTGTAAGCTACAGAAGTATGATGTTTTAGTACCAGGAATAGCAAGATATGAGGTAATACAAGCGTCGTATAAGAACATGATATCCTGCTTACATGCTAGCTCATATAAATAATCCTAGATATACAAGTATTTGTCTTTATTTACTACTTCATGTAATGACATAATACTTTATAAATAGGTTATAATATTTTGTACTATATGTTGTATTCTAGTAAAAGTAATAGGTGTCTAAATATTTAATATATATATTACCAGAACCATTTATAATATGCTTAAAGTATAAGCATCTAATTATTATAGAAGTCATGTCGTTTATAGAAAGTTTAAATCTGCTTACCTGCTTTTACTGCACATTAAGTTGCCAGTTCCGTACACTAATTATGCTTTTTAGTATCAAAACACTTCAAAGGGATAAGAAAGACTACTATTTAATCTGTCTTTTAGGATACATAATAACATTGGTGTGGTAACATAGAACTTTTTATCATGACATAATAGTGGCATTACTTGCATCTTGTAACCGGTAAATGGTTGGTAGAGTATTACAGCTACTTAACCCTTTGGAAAATACTAAATAGTAATCGCAACCCATTTTATAACCCGTTTTAAAATGCATTTTATTTAAATAAATAAGAATGAAATGAATAAGAAATTAAAATGACTAATAAATTGAAATGAAACATTATTTATATAAAGTATATTATCCGAACATTAGTAGTATAATATATGATTAGTATGTATGTAGGATAGTATAACAGTATAACAACATATTAGTAGATGATAAATTTGCTTTCCCAAATATTTATAAAGTTTTTTAATATCCATATATAGGATATACCACTTAAAATAATAAACAATTATAACTTTATTTGTAAGTGCTGGTGAATTTTACTTTTCAACATATGTATAACGAAATTACACGCTGTCGTTCTTTATACAAAAAATTACAAGAGATAGACCCATATTATGCTTCTAATATTATATAATACTAGCTGATCCCGCGACATCGTTCGCGTGGAATTTAACTTTATATTTCTAAAATAAAAGTAGCCTAAGTTACTCCTTATTACATCAGCTACTTGCAAAAAAATGTCCCGTCAAAATCGGTCCAGCCATTTCAGAGATTAGCCGGAACAAACAGACCGACAGACAGACAGACAAAAATTGTAAAAAATGTTATTTTGGTGTATGTACCGTATTTATATTCATATGCATAAAGTAAAAAACGGTTATTTCAATATTACAAACAGACACTCCAATTTTATTTATATGTATAGATTCCTAGAACTAATACTAACAGGCCGTCCTAGCCTCGTCGGTTGTCATAACTTCGTTAGTTTTGTATGTATAATAATAAATAGCATATAAATATGTATGTATATTACAAAGTGTGAAAGAATTTTCAAAATACTTTGGCTAACATTAGGATAAATATAAATATCGGTATTACGGTTAGATAAAAATTCTAAAATTTGATAATAAATAAAATAACTACTTTTAATCCTTTAAAAGTAGTTATTTTTATACCTAATATTTTCTTTTTTTTTTTCATTATATATTGCCTTTTGTCATTCTTTTTTGTTTCTATTATCTAAATATTTTTCCTTTGTTTTTATTGCCAATAGGAATATGGATGCTATGATCATACTCGATTTATTAGCCACTGTCTTTTCCAAATGAAATATTTCTCCTCATAAACTTAGATCTCTCAGCGGCATGACTAACTTCTAACGCTACCTTTGTTAATATAATTCCAAGTCCCTTTGATACAAGAGCTTCGACCTTTAAGGTCGAATTTGTATTGTAAGTACAATTAGAAAGTGTGTAGTATTTCAATTACTACGAAAAATTCTAAGTTAGCTTAAAATATGCGTTTGTTTCATTTTTAATTAATATTTTTTATGTAAAGGAAATAGTAGATAACAGCAGCATATATAGCAGGCCCACGTGTTGCCATTCCGGAGGACAAATGTCTTATATCACTCATCCTACAATTGCCTTACCTTATCCTCCAACTAAAACATCACTGACAAAGCTAGCTGCTTGGGCACCTACCCACGCAGACAAGTTTCCATGAACTCTACCGTTTAAAAATAAAAGCATATTTCTTTTTTAACAAAAACTATATTAAATAACAATAAAAATAAAAATATATTGTGTATATTGGCAGTAATATAAGGAGAAATGTCAAGCAAGTCTGATGCAGACGAAGTTGCGAGGGTCAGCTAGTTATGAATATTAGGGGTTTCTGTTACTATATTTATGATATTTATTATTGGGGTTAGGGTTGCCTTGGTAAAAGTAAAAGTTAAAATAGAAACTTTATGTACAGAATAAAACGGGGCCCGTGTTCTGCTTCTTGCGGCGGTGGCATCCGAGCTGTGCGGAAATACTGCCCTCGCTGGCAGCCCTGCCCGCCCACCAAACACGAGCCATGCAACACGCACAGGTCATAAACTAAACTTCGTGCAAAAACACTTTATAATATAGCTTATATATTAGAATAATATATAGGCGATAAATTACACGCGGGTGTAGCCGCGCGCACAGCTAGTAATATAATAACTTTAGATAAGTCATACAGCGTAGCAATAATAATTTTTACATACTAAAACTAGTATTATAAATGCGATAGTGCCCGTTTATATATTTGTGATATTTTCAATGAAAATATGGAAATAAGGAATAAAAAATTCTGCAGATGACAGCTAGTAGACTATCGAATAGAAATCGAATTTGAGTACATTTAAATCAAATATGTCAGTGGGTAACGGCGATTGAAAAAATAACTCATATCTTTATATATAAAAATACAGTATAGTAGTATAAAATGTACGCTAAATCTATTATAAACATGTAAATTCCCTGGTCCCATCTACTCTTAATGTATATCATATTGAATAACTAATGAACATTTAATAGCCACAAGGATCTAAGGCGTTACGTGTCCAAGTACCGACACCTTGCAACCTTTGTAAGGTCGCCCATCCATCCCACCCTTGACTTTATAACATGTATACTCAAACGGTTATCCATTTATGTGGTCAATCAATTACCTCTTTAACTCACTAACTTATGAACAATATTCACTACATGACTATAATACTAGTCTTATCACGCGATTACATCTGCTTCGTTGTTTTTCATATTTTATTTTATAAATATACTCTTTATTTTCTGAAATTACCTACATATCAAATGAAGAAGAACCGGACACTCGTTAGTTGTAAAGACCAATAGACCAATACGCCGAATAACCGATATATCGACAAACAGACAGACATACTTTCATAGTTATAATATTACTACAAAGTGGGGAAAGGGATTGTTAGTAATATGAACTATAGTAATTACTCTATCGTTAGCAGTGTATCAAGTCAGAATGACCTCCGCCAGTAAACCGTTGGTGCAGGTGGTGCAGCATTCCATAATCGTCCATAAAAAATATATTACTATGGACAAAAATGTAACAATATATTAAGTATAACGCTTTTTATAGCTGAGCGATTTGTAACATTTATTTTATAACGATCTAATATATAGAAACGTAATAATTCTCTTGTAAACGTTAGAATATCTTAAGTATTTTTTCTAGTTTGATAAATTTGCGTCGATGTTTTACAGATATATGTTGTCAGATGTTGTATGTGTCAGGTCCAATATATTTTAGAGTCCTAGTCCTAGGAAAACGGGACTATCTTGTATTTAGTTATCTGTAAGTATTTCTTATTTTTTTGGATAGTTTTCATTTGATTATATAAATATATTGGTATTTCAAAACATCATTTATTACCAATCTTGTTATTAGTAACAAGATTGGACAATAATAGATAAACTTTATACAAAGTATATCTATTACATACTTATGTACGTATGAGTAGTATTGTCTTACCGATTTTTTGTGGCCAAGCTTACTTTGTAAGCTGTGTTTCATGAAAGGAAGTACATTTTAGTCCTCCCGAATAGCAACATATTAGTAAAACTGGCATCACACAACAGTTCGATTACTCGTACGGTACAAACAGTTGTATTCATGAGTCAGATGATTGTTTGTATCGGTCTGAGTGTTTTCTATGTATATTATGTTTGTATTTCTAAAAAAATTATCTAAGTACATATATGTATCAGTGCGCTGTGTGAATTGTATGATTATTATTATAAAATTGAAATCTACATATTCAATATGATTTCAGTATATTTTATCCGACGCTACCGTGGAATACAAAAGTATTACAAGTTTAAAAAATACGTTTGTTCTCACGGATAAATGTGCAGCCATATGTAATAATTATAAAACAATAGCGATATATCTACTTATAATTGATGATACCGATAAATACGGTAATGATCAGAATAATCTGTACTCACCAAAAATTATCGGCATTCCGGCCATTTTATTCGAACATAATTTACGACACCACAAACACGCACCATCAATCAGTATGTAGGTAAATAATGTTAATGGTGATCATTTATTCATGGCAATGAAAGTTTGATATCGTAAAGGTAATTTGTTATGTTTTGTATTATAATGATTGAATAGAAATAAAAAAATAAAGAAGGATTCCATGTACTAGACAATAAAATTATCAGACAAGGGCGTTTAGACAAGGTTTATTCGGGCGGTACCTTTTATTTTATTAATAATCCTTTCTATTTTAATGTATTTGGAATTAGAAACAAGCTGACCACCCACTCGGTGGTAAGTGATAACCGTCGTAGTACGTTCTATTCATGTATATGTAATACATGAATAGAACGTACTACTATGTAATATTATGTTATCTGTGGTACTACGAATATCCTGTGACGCCCGTTATAATTCTCATGTAATGTCATTCCAGAGTACTAAGATGTCGTAGCTACTTATATCAGATTTCTACCGAAACATAGCAAGCTATAGCTGAAATAGAAGAGGTAACCTATCTACTACCATCTCGCCTCATATTAGCGGTATTTCATTTTTGGAGAAAGAAAGGCATAATAGATTGGTGAAATTGGAGAATAAGAAGCATGATAAGCTCTCTAAGAGCGAGATATGGGAACGCAAGCGTGACATCTTAGTTCTCAATGGTGTAGCTTAGAGAGTACTACGGTCATTACGAGACTATGAAATTGTTGTCCTATTCTTGCATATGGGACTATTTCCATTTTCCCTCAAGTATATCGTCAACTTGTTTGCTATTCCTGTAATAGAAATAAAAATATATTTACCCGAATTGGGCAATGAATGAAACTTTGTAGTCTAGTTGTCGAAAAGTCTAGTAGGCTTTCAAGCTATATCCAAACTCTATTCATTGTCTGATAATGCCTCGATTAGAGGTGAAACAAGTGGGTTTAAGTAATTTGTGTAATAACGGTAACAATATGATCACAAACAGGGAAAATCATAGCTTTACCAGTAGCGGTGGTCAGGTTTACGCACTGAAAATTTGTGGCTCACACATAATAATGGTAGCGGAATTAAACAAAATAATGTAAATCCATTATGTAATAAAAAAACATGTTATTCTTATTCCTAACAAATAATATACATACGTCTTAATCCTGTTAATATTATAAAAGCGAAAGTTTGTGAGTATGGATGGATGTTTGTCTCTTTCACGCAAAAACTTCGTATTTTGATGCAACTTTACAGTAATAATAATAATAAAATTTATATACTGAAATTTAACGCGGGTGATACCGCGGGCACAGTTAGTATAAAATAAACGAGTTTAGATTTTTCTTTACCACGTGACAGGTAGTTTTAATAATTGAACAAGAAGAACGAGCAGCGGTCATGATGAATAATGATTGAGAGCTACACACAATACTAATACGGCTGGTGTGAGGATATCGATCCAACAAAACGTTTAATATTTCAGCGTTACAGCCGATCGGAACTGAAATTGATAGTAAACTTGTTTACCACATGCTCGCGATCTGAATTATGTACAAATTACTTGTTCAATAACATGTAGGATCGAACCACATTAGAGAATCCAATATTAATTAAATATTAATTATAAGTAAGTTATTATTGTAAATTATAAGGTCTTACGAGTTCATCTATACAAATTTTCATCCTTTATTACGCTATTCCCTGATTATTTTTTAAAATAAAAGATAGCTTAGTCTGTCCTAGTTTAAGTAGTCTATATTCAAATTTTATCGATAGTTTAGTCATCAGAAGGTAACATACAACTGTTTTTTGTTACCTTTTGATGACTAAACAGCCAGACAGACACACTTTCGCATTTATAAACAGATTATGACTTATTTCTACTAGCATATGGCATTCATTAATGTGCTAACACTTTTATATCTATTTATTTTAAAACGTCTAAATATTGACATATATGTATGTACAATCCTATTTGAAAAGAGAATTTAATTCCTTGTCAGATTTTTTTTATTTATTTGGTTTGGCACTATGACAAAGTCCTTTTTGAAGTCGGTTAAAAAATATTTGTGTTTCCCGGCAAATCTGTTTACTACGGTAGCCTACAAACGTACCATTTCACAACTCTTCCCTCTATGGGTACCGTAAGCCGTCAATCCCGAGTGTTTTTCCTAGATAACGGTTACCTGCCAAATTGAGACCCTTTGAGAGCTTTGAAAAATCTATTAGGTTTGGTTAGCCAGTAACTGTAATCACTGATTACCTGTAAAACCACTATATATTTATTCAGTGATATATTCGTGAGTTTCAGATTAATAGCTAAAAAAGACGCAGTTTCGTATTCTTATAATATAAGTATGAATAACCTTTCTTTTTTGACATTCATATTCGCAATGTACCTATTTATTTGTATTAATTTTGCAAATGCCACTGGGTATATTCCTTACATTTCTATCAGATATAGATATATCTAATTTCTCTTTTTATGCTAAGATCTTTTGCTGTAAGTTACGTGTAATAAAATGTCGTATCAATAAATTGAGTTAGAAACTTTTATTAATGATTATGTTGGTCAAGTTCACTACAATACATAAGTAAGTTTAAAATTTTATCGAAGGAATAACAAATACCACGCAGCCAGAGTAGCGGGCATCAGCTAGTAGATATATTAGCTAGTAGTTAATTACGTCTATAAAAATATGAAATCCACAACATTGTAGAGATTCTTAGGTGGCTTAAGTGCAGTTAAGTTTATTGTAATATCTATCATATTTTTACAATATATTATGTCGCAGCTGTGAGTTTGTCTGGCGAACTGGCGAGTGGGAAGAGTGCAGCGCTACATGCGGTGATCGGGGCGTACAAGAGAGACTGCTGTATTGTGTACCATCTAATATAAGGTTAGTAGAAATAGGAATAATCTTTATTCAAATAAAACCAATACTAGAACTTTTTAATCGTATATATTTTTTTTCAAATTCCTTCAGTTATAAATTAGATATATGATTGGTAAAATAAAAGCATATTAGTGAAAGAATACTGTAGTATTAAAGACAAGACGTCTTACTCCGCCGGAATAGCAGCGCACGAGATGTATCGCTGGCACTTGATGACATGTATATGTATAGGCCATGTTTACCATCTACCAACTGGTGGGCCGTTAGTATATTCCGATTCCTACTTCATAAAAAAATATGTATTTCATTAAGTAATTTAATCACAGTGTAAAATACACATTTTTTTAAAAGAACTAAATTAATTTTATTTTCACAGCATAACATCGAGCATGGATGTGATTGGGAACATAGTATCACCCACCCTATGTACGTCTGAAGAGCCAAGCAAACAGCAACCGTGCAACCGTGTGCCCTGTCCGGCTTACTGGCAAGAGTTGCCTTGGACTCCGGTATGAATTTATTTTAATACCAACTTAATATAGATGTAAAAGTCTGTTATGCTTTCACGCCTTAATTGCTTAATCGTGGTGCATTGAAAATAGGGTAGGGACGGTATGAAAAATTCTAAAATAAAACTGGATCTGGTAAGATAAGGGACAAAAATTTGAATGGGAAATGAATCATATATGTAACGGGTATAAAACTTATTGTAATCGATAAATTGACCACACAAAGTACTTATGCCATGCATACGATGTCATCTGTAATATCTATCTCTTTATCCATATAAACTACACTGTTACAGTTTTTTCTTGTTCCATTCTTTTCATTTCTCCGGTGATAGCTCTGAAGAAAAGGACAATAATTTTATAATACATTTGACTATTCTGTGAATATGGTGGAAGTTTCTTAATTTGAGATATAATGGCCGATAGCTTTATATCTTATTTACTATTGCGAAGAATGAATAAATTCATCTAAGTGTGGGCTTACGTTATCCAGTTCTGACCCGACGGTCCGTGACGACGAGTCTGTTCGATTTCATTGGTTGCTGCGACGTTAAGGAAAGGGCCATGAATCTTTGAAAATGGGCCCCTCACTCACTGTTAACTTACTTTTAATTAAAGTTTTTGCATATAATGATTAATTTTATGTGAGGTAGTCAAATATATTTAATTATAAATTATTGTCCTTTATTATTATATTATATATAGTGAAAGGTATTTAATATGACTAATATTAGACAATGGTTTATATCTTAATTAGCACTGAAAACACTGACTCTGTACATGCATATATTTCTCTACACTTATTTAAGGAATATGCGGGTTGCTTAGCGAAATCAAAAAGTCATGTAAGGTTTTATTTACACTTATTTTGATTAAGTAACAAGAAAATACATGTTGGTGTATAGTTACAATAAAACTAAATACTTTACGTAACTTTCACATTTACACCCAAATCATACTTATTTAAATGAAACTAGAAATAATAAATAGTAATAAATTCACATAAGACATTTTAGTCGCTTATGAACGTCAAGTTTTTTGTATTTATATTTTTTCCCTACCGTTCAGCTCAGTTTATTACTTGTCAAAATAAGTTTAAAAATTGCCTCAAATTACTATAAGAAATAATTAATTCATAACATTGTTATTTCCTTTTTTCTCATTTAATAATATGGTTGGGAATTCTTCGACTTTGATATATTTTATCCGGATATAATTAAATTTAATATCCTTAGGCGACTCTATTGACAGTTATTTATTTCATTTATTGAGATATACAATACAATTTTAAACTTTTTCGATAATTGTTTATAGGTTTATACAATATGTAAAACATTATATAAATGTGATATGTTGTATACTTTATTTTCAAAACTTAGATTTAATTAGAAACTTTTATCTTAATATGATAATACCAGTCCCGTCGTATCTTATTACTAATTTACTATACTGTATTTTATAATTTTTCGATTATGTTTCTGTGTTGGAACTGAACTTTTCAATCGACTGAACAAAATAATTGCAGCTGTATGTTATTTTCTGGCAGTGTTCATCGACTTGTGGACGTGGCATATCCCGGCGTTCCCTAATATGCCTGGAACGAGATCCCTCACTGTGCGGTCCCAAACCCCGGGAGCGGCGCCGTCGCTGCCGCCAGCGGCGTTGTCCGACCACTTGCATAAACCCCGATTCCGAGAGTTGCCGCTACCTGGAACTACCCAGGCTTTGTGTAATAGTTTCGTTTAGACGAATCTGCTGCAACGCCTGCCAAGAATTTCACATACATAACAGGAGAGGCGGATAATATATGAGATAACAGTTATTTATAACAGTATTTGCAAATTTTTATTGTTTATCTACAAATTAATCTGTGCTAATGATGTAAATGCGAAGGTATGTTAGTCTGTCCGTTTGTTTGTAAGTTACCTTTTGACGACTGAACTGCTGAACGCTACTATATTTGATATGGAGATAGACTAGATTATATCATGAGGATGGGCACAAGCTATGTGTGAAAATCTCGTCCAGATTATTGGAATTGGTGAAGTTGGAGATGAATGTTTGTGCAGACCAAGTCGCGGGTAACAACAAGTTATTTATAAGTAGGCTAAGTGTTAATGTACAAGAAATGAAGTGCCATAATGTATCGTTCGTACACTTCCAGTGCAATTACTTGTAAGTCAATAAATAGCATATCATTATGGATAGTTGCATGGGCGCCTCTCCTTCTGGGCCAGGGAACTCGGAACATATTTATTTGTAGCCCAGAGGAGCGGCAAATCAGATTTTTAGTCCAGGACGCCGTTTTTTCAGAAGTTGAAGCATAATATATTGTAACGTATACAATTATGGAGACAAAGGTGGGTACCTCCCATGCTCCTGGGCTCGCCCATGAATCGTTGTGTTCCACATACTTATTTTTGTAAAACTGCATTGATAATACTCAAGTAATTAAATTTATTTATAAATATAACAATTATTTCATTTTTCGTTCATTGATATTGAAAACTGCATGGTATTTGCATGGTCCTCATGTCAAACCTAGAAACCATGATGTAGGTATATTTTATTGTTATATTTTTTTTACTGTAGGCAGTATACTCTTGCTTTGCTTATTTGTTAGCTTATTTACTAATTAGAATCATATCAAAGCTAATCTACTTAGTAGTACTTGGAACCATTATTATGAAGTTTATGTTAAAAAGAAATAATTAACAATTACAATCAGCCTACTCTACAGCCTACTTGCTACTCGTAAAACCTTAAATTCTTGTCCGAAATGGACAAGAAATTGTATAATAATAAACGTGAAGTTTATTATTATACAATTTCTACTATTGTCAATATGCTATAAAAGTCGCAAAACAACATCGTGTTTCCTATCCAGTTTACCTGAAGAGCATTCAAGAGTTAATATCTATTGGTGAGACGAATCCACTTGAAAATAGGATGGAATGGCGTCGAGTTTGGAACTTGGAGTGGCGTACAACAAACAGGGCATTCTTGTATAACTACTCATGTCACCAACGTTACAACAATACACCGACACACTATGCTAGCCTGGGATAGAGCTTTTAGTATCGACCTTCAATCAATACTGTATAGGCACATTCATATGTGGTCTACATGGCATGTCCTTCGTTTGCTTTTAACCTGGCAACATTAGAGGTCAAGACATATTTATATAAATTACAGTGAAGGTTGGTAAATGACCGAAACGTTGGAAGGTTAAAAGCCGCCCTCACCTGCAAATGGGGTGACCTGACCTGAAATGTGCATGGGAAATATTAGTATCCTAAATCAAGTATAATCAAAAAAGTTATTCGTACCTGTTCAAAATTTTTAGTTTTATTTTATATTATTATTTTGAAATCATGTTATTTCAATAATGATACTAATTATTAAATTAATACGCGCAGCAAAAACTTTATACCCCTTTTAATAATAATTATGTGATCAAACTACGAAATTTGGCAATAAATAGATAAAGGTCGTATGGAGAAGAAGTGCAGAAAACTTATTTTATGTTTATTATAATAATTTAAAAAAATTACATTAATATCTAATATAAACATAATGTACTATGCGTTTGACACACACACACACATATTAAATCAATTCGGAAGAAACAAAGGATGCCTGCCAACTGTCAAATATTTCTTTCCACTAGGTATGTAAATGTTATCAAATATAGCTTTAGTAAGTGCAATAGACCATAGCAACGTTTAAACTTACTATGGACAATTGGACAAAATTAATAAAATAAAATTTTAATAAATTATAGTATAATTTCAGGCACTGAGTGACTACTCATACATATTATAGTTAAAAGGTTAGTTAGTCATAGTCATAGTTTAAAGGCATATGCTTTGAGAGATATATTGGTCTCATTGGCAGATTATACGAAATTACTCCTGTTATAGTCTGTAATAACCGTTCAGGGCATTGTTGATTAAATCCAAACCAACAGTACTCTAACATCTCTGCTGCTGAACTTTAATCACAAAGCAAGCAATAAAGATTCAATTATGGAAAGTACAGACGCAGCTATGGAGGCAAACGGTATGAATTAAAAAAAAGATAATGGTTGGGGAACAATAGTAATGAGTTTTCAAGAAGTGTCCAAGAAACTTTGGTCTCGACAAAACTAATCAAAGTTATTAAACAAATGGAACGGAAAGTTGATTATTGTTTATATTAAAGATACCGAATTCTCAAAGGTCTATTGTAATTATAAGATATCAATCTACAAGTTAGAAGTTTCGTGATATTATATAGACATGATATGGACGTTTGACGACAAACCATTTCTGTACATAAATGAAGTCCACTCTGTTGTCTGTTCGTTAGTTCGCGCTAGTCTCAGAAACAATCTAATCGATTTGAATACTGTTTTCTTCCTATCGGTATACCTACATACAAAAAAAATACAAAGACATCGAGGATTCAACATGCATATGTATATGTATTCCTTTTTCTACGTGATGCAGTATGATTTGTATTTTTTTTTTCATTATAATCTAATAGTCTAATTATGTAATATTATGTTATCTGTGGTCTAATATAATAAAGAGATATTATTCACCGTAGCCACATATCTTGCTCACTGTCATTCGATAAATCAATCTTAAATTATTTTTTAATGTAATATTTTACTACATATTATATTATTGGTTTGTATGTATATAAGTATACTTACATCGTCAAAATTAGAGTTTTAATTTGAGTAAAAAATTAATATAAAATCACGATTGTCATCCCAGATAGGGTAATCAAAGAGATATTCAATTGTACCACCACCTGATATCTCATTTTTGTATTCTGGATATATCTATTTGAATTTTGTGTTTGTTAAGCGGAGTCCAGGGTACCGCAGTTTCTATCCGTATTTCATTCACCGGAGTGTTAGTCATAAACATAAACTGATGAAAATACCTGTGTGGCTTTTATAAAATATCGACCAAATTTTAAGTCATAAATGTATGTAAATCGGGGTAGTCATTCACTAAGTACAAACCAGCAGGCTCTCAAGTTACAAAATTTATAATTAGGTACGTATCGAGCGTACAAGGTTCATGTGAAGGTCAAATACTTATTTTGCTATAAGACCCTTACGGGAATTTATACTTGTCTAATAATCTGGAAAAGCGCCCCCGAGGGTCTAATTAAGGACATTAAATTACGAAAGATTTAATTTAACCAGCATTTAAAAACACCGTTGAGAGCAAGCGTCACGTCGTAAGGTAACAAACTTATAGTGTTCCGACGTTTTGTATTTATTATTTTAACAATAGCATAAAATTAGTCCAAAAATATACAAGACTGGTAGTTACTGCGGGTTTTCTTGCGTTATACCATTTATTACCACTGCTCATGAGAATTTTCAAAAACTCTTCCCATATAGCTGGAGACTTGCATTACCTACAAACGTATGTTCCAAATCTCAACTTTCTAGATTTTTTAGTAAATTAATAATAAGTAACTACGTAGTCAGAAAATCAATCTCATCAGGTCATATTCATCTCATGTGAGTCTAAAAACAAAAATAGTATACTAGGGCTAGTAAAGTTTCCTGATTGCCACCACTTACACTGTCCTATAAAAAATCAAGATTGCTATCTCATTTATTTACATATTTTCACAAGGTGAATGCCGATGAAAATTAATGTATAGCGTTAATTAGTAAAAAATTAAAAAGCTATATATATATTACGAAATATATTAATATATATCTGCATTTTTAAATCATAAATACAGAATGAAAATGTAAATTCAACTCACTACGCTTTCCATGAGCCTTAAAATGTAATTTAATTTACAACGGATATTAAAAATACTTCACTGACAAGAATGCGGCTATAATATTATGAATGAATTTAAGAGTGCATTTAAAAATTCATACATTATTCCAGCTCTGATCCAATATGTAGGATAATATGATGTCGTCAGTGGTCTATTGGATCGCATACCACCATACTTCCAATGGTCACGGGTTCGATTCCTCGCATGATGCTAACAGTTGCATTCATAAAAATAATATATATTAAAAAAAATATTTAAGTATTTTAATCAATTGTCTTGTACCCATAACACAAACCTTGCTTAGTTTGGGACTAGTTGTCGCTGTGTGAATTTTCCACATTATTATTATTATTAATAATAATACTGAATATCAAAGCTTCCAGGATTAAAACTAATCATCGTGAATTGGCACGAATCGTAGCATTTATTAACGCTAAAATCAAAGTCTAAACCGGATTTCTGATTATTCTGCTGCTCGTAGCAAACAGTTCACATTTTAATCGCAGCTCTCGAATAAATATGGCTGAATTTCGAGCCAGGGACTCGGGAGAGGGTTTCAGTAAACAGTTTTGAACGATTGATATCTGCAAGTTTTCAGAACGGCACGTCCGATGTGCTTAGAAGTCAGATTCTATCAGTATTTAGGTGGTACATTTATAGTACTAAACGATACTTTAAATATTAGGATTGAGTAAAGAAACTATATTTCATTATTATTTCTTTGTACAATAATATTACATTAGTACATATAGGTCCGTGGGTGGTATAACCATCACTGTGCCTACATGAATATAGGAATATAAGAATAATTACTACTTACATTTTATTACGTATATAAAATGACAAAAAGCTCTAGCTATATAAACGACACCACGATCATCACATTATACATACATATATACTGTGTCTGTATGTGTATTATATATTTCTCTTACTAAAGGCTGCGTGTCCTCGACCCCTCTAAATGTGATTCTACGAAAAATTTCTGCAATACTAATAAACTCGATAAATTTTTGTCCATACGATAAAGTAACTAATATTACAGATAACATAGTATTACATACTAATGACAACGTTTCACACTTTATAGGCATATTTTCTATAAACAAGTTTGTTTTAGTACGAAACGTAACTGAAAACTCAATTTTCACCTTTTTTTCACAAAAAAGACCCATTTCTAGCTCATTACTATAGACTCATCACCAAATATAGATAGAAGGAATATCTACTGAATAATATCTATATTGTAATTTTATTGCGCACACACACACATTTCTCTTAATATTACTAGGCCAGTGCAGACGTTCAAGTTCACTCTATACGAATTGCAATTGCATTTACTGTATACTTAGGTATGCAACAGTTTTTGACTGATCTTTTATAAAATTAAATCGTAGTCAGTCCACTTTCGTCAGTTCCATTCAGTTGACTGTACAACGTAAGTATTAGGAACTATATACATGTAAAGTTTTTTAACCCCCAAGGTCGATGTCAAGATAAATTATGGGCGTGTAAAGTCAAGTATTACTACAAGTGTCATGATGTTGCGAAGTTCTCATTAGATTAATGGAAAGTTTATTCGTCTTTTATGAGACTATTCAGGCGAGTTATAATTCGCGGGGGTGCAGGAGTACGTGACCTATTTATTTATCTATTTCTGATCTT